TTCGTCCGCCATATTGGATTGCTCATGAAAATAGTCTCTAATGCGCATGCGTCCGGTTTTTCCGCTCTGTCGACCCGTAACAGTTCTCAGTGCTGTGGGCAAAGGTTTCGCAATTGCTCAGTAGACAAGTGACTGGCTTCATGGAGCCCCGCCTAAACAAGAACTTAACTGCTTATCGCAAAAGGAACAGCTGCGAAACCACACTGGTCAAGTTAGTGGAGGATTGGAAAACGGCGCTGGATGGAAAAAACTTTGTTGGAGTTCTATCAACAGACCTATCAAAGGCATTTGACTCTCTTCATCCCCCGTTACTGTTAGCGAAGCTTAAGGCTTACCACTTTGCTGATAGCGCAAGAGAACTATTAAGGTCGTATTTCAAGGAAAGAAAAAATAGAGTCAGGATGGGTGCAGATATTCTGAGTGAATGGCAAGACGTTGATAGGGGATGTCCTCAGGGATCAAATCTGGGAACCCTATTATGGAACATATTTCAAAATGATCTAGTCCATAATATAGACAAGTCCAGCCTTGTCATGTACGCTGATGACCACCAAGTGCACTCGTGTGGCAAAGAGATCAATAAAGTTGAGGAAGCCCTAAACGATGAAGGAAGGCATATCGCTGATTGGTATAAAGGCAACATACTTTAAGTGTAACCTGGATAAATTTCAGTCCATGTGCTTGGAACCAAAGCACAATAATAGCGGAGCCCCATACTTAAGAAAAAATGGTAAGAGAAAATTAACTAAGAGAAGGAATCCCCCCTATGTAGCCTTGTAACCATCATGTGCACAGTTTGATGCTATTTTTAAACCATTTGTTTTTCTGCACGCGCATTTACTGCGCGCACTCTACGATGTTTGCTTACGTTTTTGGAGTTTTTCCGTTACTTGGACTCTGCCCTGAATATGAATGTGCACATCGAAATCTTGGCAAATACGACAGGAAATTGAAGAAGTAATTTGTTCAATTTTCTGGAGTATTTTTACATTTATTTTCCAAAGCTTTCGACCTACATCGTCATCTTGAGGGTAGATTTGAAAATTTGAACAGCATTTGAACATAAGAAAAGCACAAGAAGACGTTAGCAAACAGCGTAAATCAAACGATCAAATAAACGATATCATTGGATGATATTTTTAGAATAGATTCTAAGAATAACATCAGAGTAAAAATTGTTAAAACAATTCGGTTGTTTTTAACCAGCTATCGTARGTTTTTCGTTCAAGAAAAAGCTTTGTTCGCCTCCTATCGCGGGGTCCAACTGGCAAAACAAAGAAGACTTTCATTCAATAATTTTATATCTTTCTACAGATAATTTTTTAAATCATTAAATGAAATGTAATTTTTTACCAAATATTCAACTGTTTATTAAGCTGTTCGAGCAAGTATAATTATAAAAATGAGCTTAAATTTGTGTTGTTGAAAGATGTTATTGTATAAAGACCCGAATAAAAGATAATTGAAGATTTTTTCCCCGATCTTATTTTTACATTTCACTTTCATTCAAATTGTTCTCCCTGTGACTTCCGTATCGGGAGCTCCGCTTTTAGGCAATGCCTATATATATAGATAAAGGAGATGAACATAAACATGATGAAATTATTAGGGGTTTCTATTGATGAACATTTAAACTTTAACCATCACATAAGGGATATCTGTAGCAAGTGGGCGAAGAAAGTGGGGGTGCTTATGAGGCTCAGAAATATGTTGCCAACAATAGCTAAGTTAAGGATTTATAAATCATTTATTCTATCGCAACTTACGTATTGTCATACCGTCTGGCACTTCTGTGAACTCCGTTTCTCCGGGTCTGGTCAGATTACGCCAAAAAATAGATTTAAAAAATAATCACATGACGTCACTATGCCTCCAGGGCGTGTCCGATGGTCACGAAATAAACACGATTTAAAACTTCCATCTATTCCTACAATTAGTATAATTCATATTTTTCATCATATTATAAATGAATAAATGAATAAATGAATAAATGAATAAATGAATAAATGAATAAATGAATAAATGAATAAATGAATAAATGAATAAATGAATAAAT